CATCGAAGCAACATACTTGGATGACAATGGAGTCTTGCGTGCGTATGGCAGGATCGATGCCGCACTGTGTATACCGCATAGTGCGAGAAGGCCAATAATATTGTCACACCGGCACGCACTGATGGAACTGATTGTGTATCACTACCATGTGAAAATGAAGCATCAAAACGTGGATGCAACGATAGGCGACATCAGGACCAGATTTTGGATAACAAAGCTGCGTCGACTGTTGCGTACAGTAATATCTGGATGTAGTGTGTGCAAACTACATAGAGCGCAGCCAGCGCCACCTATAATGGGTCCTTTGCCAAAGGACAGACTGGAGGCCAATGGATGGCCATTTAAGTTTACAGGTCTGGACTATTTTGGACCACTCCTTGTGACGATCGGACGTCGAAAGGAAAAGAGATGGGTCGCCTTGTTTACGTGTCTGACGACAAGGGCCATACATTTGGAGCTGGTACATGACCTGTCAACTGATTCCTGTATAATCGTAATCACGAACTTTCTTTGCCGTCGCGGACCTGTACTGAGGTTGCGCAGTGACAACGGAAAGAACTTTGTTGGGGCCAACAGAGAAGCCAAAAGGCTAATAGATGTATTCGAGCCGGAGAAGATTCAGGGTGAGCTAACTTTTAGAGGCATTGAATGCCTCAACTGCCCAGCGAACCCAGCTGAAGGGAGAGCCTGGGAAAGGATGGTGCAGTGTGTCAAGAGAGTGCTACGCCACACAGTAAAGCAAGTGGCACCAGAGCAACACGTACTGGAGAGTTTCCTGATTGAGGCCGAGAACGTTGTGAATTCTCGCCCACTTACCCACTTGCCGGTGTCTGTGGACCAAGAAGCCCCCCTAACACCGAACGATCTACTCAAAGGAGTGGCCAATCTGCCTGACACGCCCGCTATTCACGAGCAGCCGAACGACAGATGCGTCACGAGGAAGCAGTGGCGCATGGCGCGGCTGTTACGAGACCGTTTTTGGAAGCGGTGGGTCTTAGAGTACCTGCCTACACTTGTGCGACGCGTGAAATGGTGTGCGCGCGTTGAGCCGATACGCCATGGTGATATGGTGTTTATATGCGACCAGGCCGTGCCACGCAGAGAGTGGCGAAGGGGCATAGTGGAGGAGCTCTACCCTGGACTAGATGGAGTGCCTCGACGCGCCAGCATCCGCGTAGCAGACAACAACCGAGTGCGACTGATGACTCGTCCCGTGGCTAAACTAGCCATACTGGATGTGAGTGAAGCAGGGCCTTCACGGGGGCGGGGATGTTGCGGGACGAATTAATTTATCGATTAGTATTAAGTATATTCTGAAAGTATGTATTTTTGCCCTCCGAATGTACGGGCACACTGTATTTGGCTTGTTGCCGCCATTACTTAAATGTTAAGCTCATTACTGTCGTGAGTTCGAAGGCCGTAGGAGGAAAGACTGCGGTAAGATTCTGAGGGAATATATATCTAGGTTCTAACCTATGTAATCCGTTTAGAATAAAACACTTGCACTAGCACGTTTTGCATTACGCTGTCTCTAGTAACATCGGAGTAACATGGCCGGGGGCCAGGCGTAAGCTTGCAGTGTTCAAATTGCAACTCCACCTTCATTTGGCACGCGACACTTATTACTGCCGAGGCACTAGTCGGGAGTTCCCCACTAGGGGATACCCTGAACCCTCTTCTTCCAACATCAAATGCATATATATATTCTATTTTAGAACCTATATGTCAAGTTTAGTGACTCTAGCTCTTATTATTTACCAAAATTGCCCAAAAAACAGGATATCAATATCGATTTATATTGATTGTATGGAAACGGAATAAGTTATCGATTATCGGAAACAAATTCGATCTGCGCGGGCCCTAGGAGCACCTACATCTAAAATTTCATGTCTCTAGCTCTTATAGGTTATACATGGCTAGATCGACTCGGCGATTGCTGCTGATCAAGAATATATATACTTTATGGGGTCGGAGATACTTCCTTCTGCCTGTTACATACATTTGGATTTTGCACAAATACAAAATACTCTTATACCCATTTTTAATGGGTTCGTGGTATAAAAAAAATAAATATACAAAATAGCCTGATCAGCCAAAACACAAAATTCCACCCGCAAGTATAGAAGAAAAATGGAAAAACGTTTGTATGAAACTTTTTTGTTTACCATACGATTGGCCTCAAACTCAATTTCAAAGTTCCTTGTTCAAATTTATTTGAGGGGTGTTTCATACCTTTCCAAAAATATATTCCTCCTTTGTGGAAAAGGGTGGTAATAGATTTGGTGGCTGACGTTTCGCGCTCAAATTCACTTTCAAAGCTCTATTTGAAAAATCATTTTAGACGTGTTTCACATTTATCGCAAAATCTAAACTCCTTCGGTAGAAGGATTTACTCCGATTTACTTTAAACTTATTTTTAAAGCTCCACATAAGAACTTAATGAATACGTGTTTCAGCAATTTGGAAAATTCCACCCACAACACTGGTTTATTAGCGAAAAACGTCGTTATGAAACATTTTTGTTATCCATCGGAAAAGCTCTAAGAATATAATGAATACGAGTTTCAGCGATTTGGGAATTTCCACTCGAAACAGTGGTTAAATGACGGAAGGCGTTTGTATGAGAGTAGTTTGTTTGGGGTCCGCTCAGTTTCAAAATCATTTTCAAAGCTATTCGAGAACATTTTACATTTTATAACATAAGTGCCACGGGCAAGGCCGGGCTATACACGTTAGTATATATACATATATATATTTATAAACAAATTTTTATATTTTTTTTTTAAACTTTTACACTTTCAAAAAATATACAATAAATTAAAAGTAACTACAGTATATTACGTTATTCCTCTAAAATGGGAGGTGTAGTGTGTATGCCTTAAAATAACACCCTATATACAAATATAAGGCATGCGGCCCTTTGTCGCAAACAATAACAATTATATATTAAACAAGCCCAGATCCACTTTATATATCGGCTCTGGATTATATAGAGCAGTGCAGTTACTAGCCTCTCTAGCTGACCGTTTATGCTAACGCTGCACATCCCACACTCCGTCTGAGTGCATTTCATGAGCAACATGAGCATATGCTCACTAACACAGGCATATGCAAGCTACTCACTCTCCCTCTCTTTGTAGCTGTTAACCAATAACAGCATAAGTGTATATATGTATCCATAGGCTAAGTGCATTATATTTATATTGAATAAAGACAATTCTAAAATCGAAGTCAATCAGCACTGACGTGCTTATGTTGTTATTGAAATACATTTTATACAATATACGAATCTAGAGTAAAGCTTTCACTTTTGCTCTTATTATTTAGCCAATTTGTTCAGATTGTTTGAAATGCAAAAATGTTCGTACACAATTAAATTGTTTGATGCGAAAGGCATCAGCAAAAATTAGTGAGGGCGCGATGCACAAGCAGAAATATGCAGCAACACACACGCAAACTAGTGTATGCACGAGGGAGCGCCCAAACGAAAGCCGCGTTCAATAAATGCACTAATTAACATACTTACGCTGTCAAAAAAACACGATGTCATTGAAAAATACCTAGTCCCAACGGACGCAGATAGCGCTAGTAGAAGATTTGTGGCATTTATTATTATTACAAATTTGTCGGATTATTCTCTTCATATAACAAGTTTATGTAATAAGAATGTTAAATTCGAACGGACGCCTATCAGCTCGGTAATTAATTGGGCCATCATTACTACAACACCCTGCCTTTAGCGAACAATTTGTCATTATTGCCGACGCAAGTAAGCAAGCGTGCGGAGCAGTTCTTACACAAAAACACAATGGTAGACATCTTCCAGTAGCATACGCCTAAAGTTTTAAAAGTCATTGCAAGATAACATAACAATAATAAAAATAAGTAATAGAATTTACCAATGCCCAAGAATTTACTATGCAAGGTTTATCAAGTTATTAAGAAGGACAATATACGGAAAATAGTGACCTTGCGATTAACACCTTTCACATGTTTACTGAACATGATAAACAATTGAGAGGGGTTCTAGTCGGGAGCTTCCGAACGACAATATAAACACTAAGATGAGTAGCGTCCATACATTTGCATGCGACGCAAAATTTCTAGCCTGGCTTCCTAAACTGGCAGTTACGATTTCGCACGACTTGCCAGCCGACTGTCTGTTCGAATGCCGAAGTCGCGGATTGCTGTGCTGACACGAGCAACAAAGTTGGTCGCCAGCCTGCCTTTAGCAAAGTTGGTCGATGGTGCTTTGCGTCGCTTCGTTTCCGAAGTACATTGAGCAAAGTTATGAACTTACGAGCGATGCAAAGCTTTCTAGCGCTGATCATTATCTAACATATGAATGCATGTTTTGTAGGAAATATGTATTTTTAAGTCGATGCAAATATTTACTTATACAACTTCTTGTTTTTGAGCCGTGTCACGAATGGCGGAGCTGGACAAGTTGTCTACAAGAGCGAAACCCTACCAAAGCCTGATCACATGCGTTGCCACACAGGCGGTACATTTAGAGCTATTAAAGAACTTAAAGGGTTCATTTTGACTCGTTGCCGACCTTCAAGAATGCGAAAAATTTGGTAGGTGCCAAGAATAACGAGCGAATAGTAAACTGAAATGTTACATACCACTGTTTTTCGCCAACTTTACATTGTTGCGGGTGAAATCTCAAAATCACTGATACACTTATTTATAACGCTTTTAGTTAAAATTTCAGCCAAAATTCCAGTTGGAATTTAAAAATATACGTATTAACTTATTTTTTAGTTAGTTTAGTTCTGGGTATAAATTTGGGACCCATTCGACAAAACTTAAAACTTCGACCTTACGACCTTTAACCGTACAATTTTCGAGAAGTATGAAACACGTCTCAAATAAGGTCACTCCAGTAAAAATTTCAGCATCATAGTTCTTACAGTTTAAGCTGTAGGTTGATCACCAATCAGTCGACCCTCATGAAAAACAGTTTTAGGCATCGAAATTATTTTAAAAATACTTACACAATAATATCCATCGATTTTGTCCACAATTACACAAATATATGATTTACACTGAATTAGTATATCTCGGAAATCAAATAAGAGATAGTCCCTTCTTATATTTTTTTTCAAAAAGGGGATCTTTTTGCGGTTGTCAAGCAGGCCTCCATCAACTATTGGAAACCTATAAGTGTAAATGAAAATTATACGTTACGACTTAAAGACGTTGTGAGCTAAGTTTAAAAAATCATATTATTCTTGAATATACATAAAAAACTACTAAGAAAACAGTTCGCCCGAAATACGCTATATGCAGTTGTAACGACCTGCTGAAGTTTTCATGAAAAAAGATGCCCCTTACTTTCTAAAGAAATCCATGAAAAGAATAAACTCAACTTTATAGTTAAAAACAATTTAATACTTTACATTTCGTTTGACCTTCAAAGAATTTGTTCTTTAGTAGAGCGTTGTGGGAGTTGCCATACTCCGCTCATTCTCAAGCCTATCACGTTCTTGTCGGCGATAACAAAGAGCGGTTAGGTTTAAATTAATAAACAGAGTGAAGCACTGTTTCCGTTACCAAATTTAACATGTTTTTAAAAAATGGACCTGAGCATGGAGCCCGTCAATGCTATTTCTAGCATGATAATATCTTTGAGTGCTTGGTGTTCTCTAAGGACAATGGGCTGGCAAAGCAATGGCAGAATAACTTACATTTTCGATGTGACCATTAAAGAAAAGGTTTTTAAGAGGGACCAATCGAATGTGCGAATCTTAGCTCCGTTATAAGCCGAAGGATCCACGGAGCTTGGGACATGTATTCGGATTTAGCGAAAACTAAGACGCTCATTTTGCCAATAACAAAATTTTCTGGAGTAAGTATAGCCAGGTCCACAAGGTTAGGGGCTCACAGACACAAGCACGTTTCAATCATATTGTGTACAGCTACCACGCAAGTTTGCTTGTGGTTGCAAACCCTGCTCTCAGGTGATGTTGCCAGATGCCTCTGATAAGCCACTGCTGAAGCGAGCTGCGTTTTGTTAACTTCCTTGTGCGCTGCTTCAAATTTGTTAAGGACCTTAATTGCTTTAACAAAGTTTTTTCGTTATCACTATACATGTATTGACCAATAAACATCTGCAAAACGCGTTGTTGATAAGCGAGTGACTGCTTCTAAATGCACAGCTACGGTGGCTATGCATATAAAAATAACATGTATCTTTTGTAAGTGCTTGTCCCGCGTTAGCGCCCAATCTTAAGACCTACTCTTCGCACAACGAATGAACGCATTGACTATTGGCGCAGAAAGGGCCTCATTATTTGCGTGTTCAATTTCCGGGTCTAGGTGACAAATTTGGTGTTCCTAGCTCTTAGGCTCCGATATAACACTATCTATTTTATATTTATTTTCGATAAGCATCGAGTTATCGATGATATTGAACAAATTTTATATTTTTAAGCATTAGAAGGCCTACGTTCAACATTTCTCTCCTTGCTTTCTCTTTAATATCGACGAGTTCATACAAAATGACAGGCAGACGAATAAACAAACGGACGGCTATTGTTGCTGCTCAAGAATATGTACACTTTACGGGGTCGGAGATGCCGTCTTCTGCATGTTATAAACACTTGCACAAAACCATAATATATTCGTTGGGGTATTCCTCAGCTATAAGCTATACAATTTTCAACAGAACTATTTTTTCAATAACGAGTACAAACTTTTCATCGATAAAAATCGATACCGAAATCTTGTTTTGGGCACCAATATCTTAGCCATTGTTTGATACGCACTACAGCTCCGATATTATGGATCTGCTGCAAGCGAATAAACCTCAATATATTATGCGAACTGAGTTTCTTAATGTCACGTATGTTGTATAACTTGACGTGTTTCTAATAAAAAAAACTTACCTTAAATTTAGTTTAAATGATTTGCATTTAATTTGCATATCCAAAAGATTGTCATTTTCCATTATTTTCTCATCCGCATTATCATCTTCCACAAATGGAGATACATTAAATAAAGCCTTTAATCTATCATAAATTGTAATATCAAGCTCTGTAGTGCAGTCGTCTAAAGTGCATTCAATTTTATTGCTACTTTTGTTGTGGTTTTGTTTAAAAAGATACGACGATATATGAGAGAGAATAACTTCGGGTCGAGTGTGATATCCATCACTGCAATTCTAAAAATTTGATATAATGTTATTATTAAATTTTAATTATTTACAGTTTGAAAATATATCGCGACTAACGTGTATTCCCCGGCCTCACCGGGTATAAGGCGGAAAATTTAAATCTACAATCTTGATTTCGACTTCTATTTAAAAGTCCTTCAAAGAATCACTAAAATCAAGAGCCATACGAAAATTGTGACGCACGTCTCAAATAAATTTTCACAAAGATTTTTGAAAAAGATTTTGAAACCAAATGAATGGTAAACAACCATACCATAATCACGGAAGAATAGACGGGCATGACTATATTAACTCGTTTAATGCTGTTGATATGGGTCAGAGATGTCTCCTTCTATGCGTAACAAATTTAAAAATAATAATTGTTATACCCCAACGCTTATTAAAAATTAGCTAGGGGTACTAAATTATTTACTACTGGGCTGGGAGTTAACGTTTTAACGGTTGATATATTTATATAACTTTGACTGTTATCTTCACAAAAATACAAATCAAATTACGAGGTATGCGCCTATTTCAGGAAAGCATTTGTATACATCATTTCCAGAATAGGTTTCCTCTAATTTAAAAAGCAGAATTATAAAAGTTCTGTTTACTTTTTCAAAGACTGTTCACGTTACTGATGTATCATGTATTGGTTGTCAACGATCTGATGTGGATAGGATTTTTTATAAATGTAGGGAGCATTGTAAATACTCTAAGTGCCGAATCAACTTAATATATTAAACAAAAAAAATAGACAGACTTTTATAGAGTATAGCTATAAAACAGAGACTAATTCGCATAGACGGACAAACTGACACGCGCACATTGCTATATTGACTCGCCTTTTGACACTGATCAAGAATATATACACTTTATAGAGTCGGCGATGTATCTTTCTATGCGTTACACATATAAAGATAAATTTATAATACCCTCTGAAAGGGTATAAAAAATGTTCTTTACCGGCTATTTGTAGCACTTAAGTGATAATTTTCCGATCGCCGGTTGCAATACAAACTTTTCAGTTTACTGTCATTTTGACTGATACTAAACTTAATAATTAAATAATATAAATACTCACTTTTTTCCGGTCGAACAAAATTAAGTGATTGTTGGCGTTGTCAAAGACTTCACTGAAGTCCAACGTTGTTGCTGATAATGTTGTCTTAAGAGACAATTCATTACAAAATCTTTGCTGATTTCCGTTGACTAATAATGATGAAACTCTCAACAACAGATAGTTATTATTGGGTATTGGAATATAACATTCCTCCACAACGTTTTCCTTGTTTGTTGCTTGAAAAAAAATATTGGCAATTTCCAAATAGTTCGAGAAACTTTCATTATTGTATGTGCAATTTGGCTGAATATCATTTGTATTATTTTCGAACAGAATATCATTATGTAGGATAACCCACACAATTTTAAATATTTGCAACTTAAACTTTAAAATCTCCCCACATTTTTCATCGGATTCCTGTTTTATCTGAGCATTGCTACACGACGTAGTTATGCTGTTTGTAGATGTCGAGGACATAACTGTTTCGCTTTTTTTTGACATTTTATCATGATACATATGTTGAGGGTTCCTATAAACATCTGCTTCAGTACACCAATTCTTGTCTTTCTCCACAATGCCAGTCATTTTTGTGTTGAATGGTGCATTTTTAATTTCAGTTGTCAAATCAGAATATTTTTGTTTTATTCTTTCTTTTGGGCGCACTTTATCAAATCCTTTGAAAATACGCATTAACAGATGTGTTTGGCGAGGGGTTAACATAAAATAAATGTCGCCCATTAGAACTTCTAGGTTAATTTTTGGACCAGATACGTTTTCAGTTTGTTTCACGCTTATCTTAAAATTTTGACATCCCTTAAATTCCACAATTTTGCAAAGTTGCCCAACAGACACCATCCCTGCTTTATTACTTTTCCTGTCAAATATTTCTGAAGTATAAATCGTTAATTCATCGGTAACTAAATTATGTTTAGCAATCATCGGTAATGATGTGAAATTAGAACCTTGATTGGTGCTATGGTTATTGCCTCTTGATTCTTCATTTGAAGAAGCATAAGTTCCATATCCAGTTTGATTTTTATATTCGATATGATTTGCTTTAAATGATAAAATAAGTTGTCTGGCAGACTTAGGCAAATTACATTCAATGTTAATCGTTGTATTAGTTAAGTTTGCATGTATACGATTTAGAACTGAAAAAAAAAATTATTATAAAATATTTATTCAAAGTTTATTTATGATAAGATTAATATTGCAATCTAGGTAGATCAGCATCATTAATATATTTGATCGCGAAAATTCTTTTTATTTTATTGCAATGATAATTACAAAAAAATTAAAACAAATAAATGAAGCCCATTTATTTGTTTTAATTTTTTTATAATTATCATTGCAAATAAAATGGGCTCCATTTATTTGTTTTAATTTTTTTATAATTATCATTGCAATAAAATAAAAAGAATTTTCGCGATCAAATATATTAACATAAGTCTTGCACGAGTTGCAAGCTCAGCATTATACTGCACGGCCTCCGGTGTTGCAGCATAGTGTCAGAAAAACAATACGCAAGTTACATTGTGCAAGCTAGAAACGAACAGATTCCTTTAAAACAAAAACTTTAAATAAATTAACGAGCCCAAGACAACCATGAGCTAAACTGAGACAAAAATACAGGTCAGCTTTGGGCATAAGCTTCATAAGCAACCTCTACATTGGCATTGCACTTATAGTGCTGACACAGCGTTATCGCTTATGATGAGTCGGCTTTCTAGATGTAGCTTTATACTTCTTCGTATCTTATGCCTTTTTGCTAGTTTATGTCTCAGCTCGCTTGTAGTTGTAGTTGCAATATTGTTTTGGTACCATAAGTTGATACGCGACCTATCAACAAACTTGCTTCGGCTCTTGCCATTAAATCATTCGTTTCATTGCTGAGCCCCATGCTCAGCATTTTACACAAGTGAAAGCCACTGGTATACCAACAAAATTAGATTAAGCAGGACGATAAAAGCTAAGAGATTTCTTAAAAAAACAAGGGGTTGATATCGATTTATTTTGATTGCTTGATAAGTTTTCGATTATCGGCAACAAATTCGTACTGCGCGAGCACTACGAAGAGCTACGTTCAATTTCTAATTTCTACCCCTTATAGGTTCTGAGAAAGTAGAAAAATTTGTTAATCTTTGTCACTTCATTTATTTTCCTATGTCAGTGTGAAGGGAAGCGGAAAAACAGTTTCGGTGTTGCCGTTTATATAATTTACTTCACTTAAAAATAATCGAATTAGCAGTTTTGACCCATTAGAGTGACAGACGACATTGGGGAATTACTTTGCAGCCTACAGAAACTAAAAGTGGCAGAACGTTCACAGCCTGACATGTAGAGCAATGGCAGCGGGCACTGCATTGGAGGTTCAAAAGGACGACGTTAATCGGAAAATACAAGAGCTCACAAGCCAAATATAATATATATTTCAGTAGCAGAAAATGAGACGCTGAAAGCGGCTGTACTCTAAGACGAAACTCTCGATTTTTGACCGAAGCGGCAATAAAGGGGCCTTTCGCCATTATCAGGCGGTGCAGATTTTCATGGGGCACAGGTATTAACACGCTATCATCATTTGGCGCAAAATGGTATTTTGACGATTATAGCTTTCCTAATGATGACAAGCGAATTTTTTTACCTTTTCATTTGAATAGGCATCTTTATTCCCTTCTATTATGGGTTGAATTATCTAATACAAAATTTAAGTATTACATCCCAAAACAGAAGCTGAGTTGGCTAGAGAAAACAATAGACAAATAGTTGTATTACTCGACAGCAATACCAACATTTCATTTTCGTTGAGAAAAAAACTAAGCTAATTTAATTCGCAGCACAGACACTCAGCTGTATACAACCTTGGAATGTATTGAAGTCATATTTGCCTTATTTTATATTCTATCGTTGGAGTTTCCAATTTGCGTCTTCTATGTTGCTTAACCAAATTAAAAGCTTATTGTCGCCAATTTGTTCCTTATTCTATTGTACTGTAGTTTAATTGATGATTATCCGGGTATACTATATAAGTTATAACATTGATTAAAAGAGTAAAAAGGTTGCTTCTGGTTTGCATATCTTTTATTCAATTTTTTTTAAATTTGAGATTCGATTCAGTTTTTGTAAAATATTCATTTTTAAGATTTTTATCTTAAGCATCTTGGCTCAATTTGGTTATCTTAACTATACATTTTAAATCGCAAGTGTGATATGCTAACGGTCTTGTAATTTCTTTTGTATGCATATTGTAAAGGTTTTGCATAACTTCACAATACACTTTTTTTTTAATTTTTGTAATTTTCCTAATCTAACTTATTCGGAATAATGGATGATTTGTAGTCGAGTTCTTCACAGAACATTCGCAGTGTTGTTGGTATTATGAAGACGTCTTAGCAGTTCTTTTAATCAGAGTATGTGGTCAACGTCCATTTTTTTAGTGACACTAGTTGAATTTTGTATAGCGCCTCTTGACAAATAAGTCCTCTTAATATCCGTCGACTAAATATAGTTGTATTTAATAAATCAAAAAGATGAATTTTTCCGATACAATAGATTTCCCAAGCAGGTGTCTGTTAATAGCGCCATCTTTGTTCATTATCGTTAATAATATCCTTACTTATGATTTTTATTAAAGTTTGGTTTGTGATTGTTGGTCGTTAAACGTTAAGTCGTAGAATGTTAAAATTCAAGCGCAATTTATTTTCTTTAATCTTTAATTTCATCTTCCGAACCCTACTTATGTACTCTTATATGGCATTCTGGAATATAGTGTGTTGAAATATATTCTTGTAAATGGCACCTATGTATGTATATATACTATGTATACGTGTATACTAGCGAATAAAACACGACCTTGCCCGAGGCACGTAAGTTATAAAATCAATGTTCTCAATAAGCTTTGAAAATAATTTTGAAACTGATCGGACAGTAAACCAACAACTTTCATACACACGTTTTCCGCCAATTTACCACTGTTGCGAGTGGAATTTCCCAAATAGCTGAAATACGTATTCATTATATTTTATGTATAGTTTTGAAAATAAGTTTGATGCAAATCGGACGCACCTTATATCGCAAAACGTCACTAAATAAATCTTTGAAATGCACTTTCCAATAAAGGAGTTTACATTTTGCGAAAAATCGCAAAAGATTTTTCATGTAGACCCTTGGAAATGAATTTGAGGGCGAAACATCAACCACTAAATCTCTGACCACTATTTCCACCAAGGCGGGATGGATTTTCCAAAAAGTGCGAAACACCCCTCAAATGAATTTGAAGAACGAATTTTGAAAATGAGTTTGAGGCCGATCTACAGTGAAAATTTCAGCTTCTTAGCTCTTACGGTTTGGGCAGTTCATTGATCACCAAACTGTCAATCAGTCAGTCACTCAGGACAATCAGTTTTATATAAAGAGATTTATTTAAAAATAAAAACTATGAGTGTAGCAAAAGCCTATTGAGTTTCGAACAACACGGTGCTAAATTTTTCGGCCATAATCACTATAATAGGTTTCTCTTACATCGAAAAGACCAACTAAAAGTACTTCAACAGGAGGCAAGGAAGCATGACTCTGATAGAGTATAAAGATGATGTTCAGAAGCCGCGGTCCTTGAGGTTGAGCTTATTTCCAGCCCATCTTCAGGATTTGCCAACCGCGTTTACCCTTGTAAGAGAATCAGAGAGCAGCAACGAGAGGGGCGTACGCATTGCAACTAACTCATATTTCCGCAAAGAAAAGGATCTGAAATTTGGGGCCGGCCGATAACAGACGCGTGATTAACCTAAAGATGGCGGTAAATAAAAAAACATCCTCCTTTCTCAAAAAAACAGCACACAAGGAGTTAAGCAACAAGCTCCTGGTAGCAAGAAGTCGCCAATGTAGCCTCCAGGCTTAAGGTCGACTCATCCTGCACCATTAGTTCATGGTTCATGGTTGTGACGAAACTCATATCAAATGCTATTTTCACGCATATGCAGGTAGGAGCAAAGCTGAACATGTATTCCAATTCTGTAGATTATGGTGTGATGACGTCAATTATACTCGTGTGCTGGATATTGTGACACCCTACTCTGGGAGAGCAGAATTCAATTAGATGATTTGGACCACTTTTCAATATGTCCCCATTGAGGTAACGAATTTTGTTAAAAATAAATCAAAGTGCGAAATTTATTCGGTCTTCTAGATAACCTTAAATTAACCCTACTCGTATTGTTGATAATAAAATCTGCGAACATTAAAGTAACAGCGGAAAGTTATTGTCTTCCGCAAGTTAAATGGGCGAACCATTACAGATCGGTATCCCATGCCAAGTATCCTAATTTTATAAAAATATAGGAAAGCCCAAATACTCAACGACCGTAAATCATAAATTTGGTTACCACCAGATTTATTTAGCAGAACTAGATCCTGAGAAGATTTTCTTTTCAGTAAATTGAGGGAAGTATGTATTTTTCCGGTTGGCGTTCAAATATTCCAAAAACCAAGTGACGATGTTCTTACTGAACAAATTGGCAGAACATTCTATGTATAAGTTTGCGATCTCAAATTTTGTTTACAAAATGAATCAAACCACGTCACACATCAACTGCGTTGTAAAGAGCTTTTGTGACGCAAACACGAGGGTGTCCAAGGGAAAACCACACTTTTTAAGGAAAGTTTGGAGAATTTGGATTTCATTGTCACTAAGGCGGGATTCATTGTCACAAAATAAGTGTTTGTGATAGGAAGGCCTGCCTCCTTTTAAGGCATAGTTTGATGCGTCAGTGAATAGTTAATGGTTCAGTGAACTTGGACAAGTCTTCGCAAATGAGACAATTTTTTACTCTATTGAAGGCTTCTTTTTGTTTTGCACATAAGTTAATAAAAGAGACTTTTTTATACCATGAACACATTGAAAGTGGTTAATAAAGGGAATAGTGTTTTTGTTCAAATGTATGAAACAGGCAGAAGGAACAACTCTGACCTCATAAATTATATATGTTCTTGATCAGCATCAACAGCCGAGGCATATACAAGGATCTTAGAAGCTATAAATGCAAGAGACTTGAAACTAGCTGTAGGTCTTCCTAGTCCATGCGCAGTACGAGTTTGTTTCTGATAATCGATAAAATACTCCGTTTACAAGCGATCGATAAAAATTTATATTAAAATC